TCTCCATCGACGTTTGCCGAAAGATTGCGAGACCATATGGTGTACACAAAACCAACTCCAACACGCCAACAGAAGTGGACTGTAAAAAGTGCCTGATGATTTGCACACATGTGGCCACATTTTCATTCGCTGCGACGCTACACGTCGACCACTCCAAACACCATACATCGGACCATACGAAGTAATTTATCGTTCTGATAAATTTTTGTTTTGGATCGCAAGGGAACGCATGACTCATTAGGTATCGATCGTTTAAAACTCGCGTATCTCGATTCATCTTTCGATTTACCAATTACACAATCTCCACATGTTATTCCTTTATCAGTTATCCCCGATACACCTCCCACATCAAGTCACTCATCAGACACAACACACACTTCTCCATGCGTATTAACACCTCCAACCGTTCCACGTACAACACGTCTTGGAAGAAGAGTGCACTTTTCCGCTTGTTTTCTTTAACAATTAGCTTTTACTCTCACCTTTATCGAATATTCAGTTCGCACTTTCACTCTAGAAAGGGGATACTGTAGTGTCTTACTTTTCTATCCACTATCTGACATGATTGTACAGCTTCTTTTATTAAACACAACACCTAACACCACAATACAAATTCTGTTCGTAACTCCGCACGTGTTCTCCGAGTGTTGCTGAAGCATTACGCAATCATTATCAGTTACCGTCAAGCGGTCCGTTAACTATTGCAGCCATCCATTTCAGCTCCACCGCACCTCATCAACCGGAGCCACACCTCTGAAGAACAGGATCAATCGACCAGCCGGACAATCTTTCTGTGAGTTCGTTCCATGTACCGTTTATATCATTATTATTCGTACATGTAGTATCTTTTCCACTACAGCCTCTATAAAATCAATGTACACCTTCAATGCATTGAATAGACAGCCACAAATGGCAGAAGGCGAAGAGATCGTCAGACCGCTCCAAAAATGTCTCCTAAACCTCCCTGTGGCGAACCGAGGACACCGAAGGCGGCTCCAATTACATTGACGTTTCATGAAAAGCTGCAGCGCAAAAGGCTAGAGGTCAGCTATTTCAGTTGCGAAATACATTGAGTAATCGAAAGGCAGAAGTCTTTATCCCACTGTATAAGGCACTGGTGAGACCACACCTAGAATACTGTGTCCAGGCCTGGGCACCCTACCTGCAGAAGGACATTCAGTGCATCGAGAACGTTCAGAGGTTAACCACCCGAATGGTCTCGGGCATGAGGAGCAAGTAATATGAAGAAAATCTGGTGGCCTTAGATCTCTTTCCTTTGGAAAGAAGACGCCTCAGGGGTGACCTTATAGAAACGTTTAAGATGATGAAAGGTTTCACCGCCGTAAGCGCCGAAAGTTTGTTCACTCGAACGCCCGTAGAGGCCACCAGGGGACACAGCCTACAGCTCTTAAAACCAAGGACTCGCCTGGGTGTATGGGTTCAACTTATACACGAACCGAGCGTTTGATAGATGGAATCAGCTACCACCTTACCTGATGGATTGTGCGAGTACAGTCGATTTCAAGAGGCAGTTAGATAGGGCTTGGACCCAAATATACCCAGAGGTAGTATAGAAGCAGGGTCTAAGATTGTTTAGGGGTTGACATGCTACTTGTTTTCCAATTAATCTCCCTGAAAGGATATCGTACTGGAACCAGTTTCCCACCGCAAAACAGTTGCAAGACAACGACTGAAACGATTTTTGAAGCTTTGGGAGAAGGAACCTTCCTACCAAAGCAAGAACCTCGACGCTTGGTTGGCGAAAGCGTTTTCCGTCCTGTGCAACCTGACCTGACCTGATCTCGGGCTACGCAGAAGGAAGCCCGTAGAAGCATCAACCCCGGATCTGGATCCCGGATCACAAAGCATTCAACAAAATGCGATCGCGAACCGAGTCGGCGAAGACGGCGCGTAGACCATACCCAGAGCTTGCAATCCCCCACCATCGCGCAAACAATGTCTTATGAGTGTGAAGCTGCCGCAGTCGAAGGAACCGGAGTCGCAGACCAGAATCAACTACGACATCAACTTGCTACGCGAGACTTTGGAGCGGCTATTCATCCCGGGAGAAGAAACCTCGGCAAAACATCATCCGTATAAAGTCAGCGTTCCGCCTTGGGAAACTCGCAAACGGCTCTGTTGGCTCTACGCGTCCGCTCAAGGTGGTCCTAGGATCGGACGTTGAAGCATCCTCCGTGTTCCAGTGGACACAGACTCAAGAGCGAACGGATACGCATCGTCAGAGATCTAGACCCTGTGCAGAGGGAACAACTAAGAAAGGCACTCTCCGAACTACACGAGCGCCGCTGAAAAGGGGAAGCAAATCTCGTAATTCGGGATTTTCGTGTACAGAAGAGACGCCCTTACTACCAGTGGAGACCCCTGTTGATCGCGTCCCCAAAACCGACTCCGGAGTAGGGCATTCAGGAACGGATGGGAGAGCCAGAGTAGACCGAAGGGGACGAATATCAGGGTTCTTCTGAGTAAGAGGGATGAGTTGGAAATCTGGGTGCAGAATCATATTCCCACAGTGGTGGCGCTCACTGGAACCTGGTTGAACGCCAACAATCTGGACTCGGAAGTCGCTCTCCCCGGATATACCATGTTTCGAGGAGACAGAAACCCTGGACGGATTAGGGGAGGCGTAGCATTGTTCGTCCGATCTGGCTTGCCTGCAGTGCGAATGGAAACATATGCGACCCCACAAGGTTTCGGAGAAGCGGTTTGGTGTCGTGCCAGCCCAGCAAACAGGGAATGAGCCACAAATAGTGGTTCATATGGGTGAACAGCAATGC